CTCTCACACACACACACACACACACACACACGCACACACACACATACGCTCTGACACGCGCGCGCGCACACACACACACACTCTCTCTCTCTCACACACACCCTCACACACAGCACTCTCTCTCACCAGCCTTCTGATGACCATCAACTGCCGCTCATCAGCTTATCAATCAGCCCTGCATTAAGATGGCAGCTGGCAGCGGTGCAGTGTTTGAACTTGAACTTTTACCTGCTATACTCACCTTTGTGGATAGGCAGTCATTGGTCATTGTCTCCAGCGATGTCCCTTGTTGACTCCACTTTGTTAAACACCTGCAAACCTGTGTGTATCATACCGTCATTACCTGGATACTTACCTGTGTTTGCAGTGATGTGTGCTTTCTGCCATCTTCCCAATGTGTGCACTCCACTTCCCCTGTGAAAGAAAAGGGCATTTATTATTACTCCTTAACCATTTCAATTAATAATCATTGCAATACTTACCTTTTTCTCCAACTGCTCAGTAAACACCTGTCTTGATTCGGTATCCTCTGTTCAGTCTAGTTTATGTCCTGACAATAATGTGTGAATAAAGGGTTTAACATTTTAATGGCTAAACTATTCATTTACCAGTTAATTACAGAGATGACCTTTTTGTAATCTGCCAATAAAACAATAGCATTTAAAGAAATAACAATTGTCCTCTTTTTTACCTCTGTTATCTCAGACAGTGTAACAGGATGAAAAGGCAGGGAGATATTCAGTATTTTGCCAGCCAGTGAGGGAGAGCCGGTCTGATGGTTTACACGCAGTGATTTCAGAGCCTGGCTGCTCAACAGGAGACATCTTGGTTCAGGAAGATGCGAGTGTAGGTCAGAACAGCCCCGTACACCCTCAACCAGGTTAGTAGACCAGCTAGAAAGTGGACAGTGACATGAGTTTGGGTATATTCAGGGCGACACATTTGCTTTAATCAGAGAAGTCCCTATATTGATATACTGGTACTAATTTCAGTATCGTACAGAAAAAGTGCACTCGAGTGCTATTCTAAATCTATGAATGCATAAATCACACTAAACAAATATCATGATCTGTGGTTAAAAACCATGTATTTTACTAATATGCCTCTGTATTATAGCTGTCTCTAGGGATGAAACAGATGACAGTGATGTGGAAGAGATGGATACTCATCACCCACCTTCAGAAGCGGAGTCTGAGGTTCCACTCACATCTGACACTGCTCCAACTGGACCTGATGAAATGTCTTTTTTATTTTACATGTAAAATAGCTATCCCTATATCCTTGCACTCTCCTCGCTGTCACAGTTGTCTGGTCTCACAGTTGGCTTTTGGCTATGCTTACTTACCTGGTTCCTACCCGTTTCCAAGCTCCCCCGATGACCTGCTCCTCAGCTCCTACACTCCGCTGTTCTCCTAGGATTCCCTGGAAAAGCACTCATTACTCCTCACAGATAAGAACCCAGAACCCTTGCCATTCCCCTAATACTCACCTGGATCAGTTGTCTTGCTTACATCTGCCTGCTCGGTTAATAAACCTGCTGTTGTGTGCACTTACCTCCGTGTACCTTTGTGTATTTGCTGACACATTTATAAGTGAACTGTAATTGTCCATGAAGGCTGGAAGTGAAAAACTTGTATTCAGATGTGCAGAATTATTAGGTATGTTTTCTTTTACAGATAAAATGAGCCAAAAAAGAGAAAGAAGAATTAGGTGTGAAACCATCAGGAACCCTTTAGTCCCCAGCACCATCATTTTCCAGAACTGCAACCTTCCTGGAGTCTCCAGAAGAACAAGGTGAAAAAGTTTATTATTATAATCAATGTTGAGAACATTTCAATATTTTTGTGGAAACCGTGATGCATTTTATTTTTCAGGATACACAGATGAACAGAAAGTTCAAAAGAACAGCATTTATTTGACAGAAAACTTTTATATCATTAGAAATGTCTTTACTGTCACTTTCTAACAATTTAATGCATCCTTGATAATTAAGTGTTGATTTCTTTCAAAAAAAAAAAATACTGACCCCAAATTTTTGAATGGTAGTGTGTCACGGTTTCTCCCTAAAAATCAGCTTTGCACCACAGGAATAAATGACAGTTTATCATATATTCATATACAAAGCAGATATTTCACATAGTAATAATATTAGAGTTCTTTCTGCTGTGAGGGGTTCTTCATCTGAGCTCAGATGTCAGAGAATCAGAGAAATCTGCAGATTTGTAGATGCTTTTCTGTGTTTTTATAAAGGAATGAAACATGAATTTGCAAGTCTGT